CAGGACAGAATATATGTGTAGACATCGATAAACAGGAGAGAAATCCACCAAATCTTGGGTCCCAGGTACCTGTAAAACAATCAAGATTGTCACAAAATATTCAAACAAAGTTATTAATAACCACTGCATTTATTTTTACTACTCACTGTGAGGAAAAAAAAATACAGAACTATGCTAGGAAGAAGAGAGGGAAGATAATATAAAAAATACGATGAAAAATGGAAAAGCCAAACCTATAAGTAATACCAGCAAATGAGCAGCACCTAGAGACTAAACCTATACTACCTAGTACATCAAAAGAGAGAGTAAAACAGAAAACATCAGGTAAGAACTGGAGTATAGTCGCAGTGCTACAACTCATTTGTTATCTGACCTGACAAAAGTAAATCACAATTTACTTTGGCCTTAATTTCCTCAACTGAAAGAAAGAAACTATCAGTTGACCCATAGGAATTTAATAAGAATAAAAGGAGAGTATGAAAGTAAATATTAAAACAAAGTAAAACATAAAAGACAAAATAACATAAGAAATATTTTTTAAAAGACCTAGCTGAAGATTTTACAATAACACTGGTAATTGTATGATTCATCAGAATATAAGCACTTCCAGTTTATCGGTTCAAAATTTATTGACAATTTTGTTCATTTGCTTGCATCCATGAAGGCAGAAATTACATCTGCATGTTTAAGAATCTCATAATGCTATGTACTCGTAAGCACTCAAACAAACTTCTATATGAATTCAAAGATTGCTAGTAAGGTGCTCCAGATCCTACACCATGGCCCAAGCAGCATTACTGAGAGAAAAAAAAGTTTACAGACACATGGGCACTTGTAGTTAAAGAAAAAGTTAGACTCAGAAGCACATGAACACAAAATAAAGCAACAAGTGACCACTGGGGCACTTTTACTAGAAATAACCAAAACATTAAAGCATCTTTGACTGAAAAGTAGAGATCTGAAGGTAATTTGTCTTTCCAGAAAACCAGACCCTACAAATGAAAACTACAGCTAAGCAAAACACAATCTCAAAGAAAGAAAGAAAGAAAGAAAGAAAGAAAGAAAGAAAGAAAGAAAGAAAGAAAGAAAGAAAGAAAGAAAGAAAGAAAGAAAGAAAGAGAAAACTAGGTTAACTTGATAAAAATCAGATTTATAGCCGAAACCGGTTTGGCTCAGTGGATAGAGTGTCGGTCTGCAGACTGAAGGTTCGATTCCGGTCAAGGGCATGTACATTGGTTGCGGGCACATCCCTGGTAGAGGGTGTGCAGGAGGCAGCTGGCGATGTTTCTCTCTCATCAACGTTTCTAGCTCTCTCTCTCTCTCCTTCCTTTTTGTGGGAAATCAATAAACTATATATTTTTAAATCAGATTTATAATGGTATTTAAACTATATAAAAATTAAAGATGCATGTAAAAAAAAGACAAGAAACATTTTTTTAAAAAAAACTTGATCTGTATAGGAAATGATTTAGAATTAATGATTGCAAAAGTATTTATTATAAATATACTAGAGACCCAATGCATGAAATTAGTGCAAGAGTAGGCCTTCACAGCTGCAGCAGCTGCCTTGATCCCTCCATGGCAGCCATGGCGGCTACCTCAATCCAGAGGCTGCAGCTCTGGCTTCCTCTGAAGGTTGTCTGGAAGGATGTCTGGAAGAACATCCGGTCTAATTAGCATAATGTGCTTTTGTTTCTATAAATTTACAAAAAGTTAAGGATATTTCCTTACCTAATTTTGAATAAAATATTTATCTCAACTATGTTCTTTGTGCAATTCATTCCTTTTGTTTTGCTTTGCCTCAGACCTATAGTTTTATTCAAAAGGAAATTTCTTCAAGCATTCTTCAGACAGAGCCTCCTTGGCCCTTTCACATGTGGGACCTATCCTTATATTATAGAATAAATATCCACATTAGGAGACAGTTTCTCTACAAATCTGTGATGAATAAACTATTGGGGCCCCTTAATGAGCTAATAAGGCTGGTTTACCTGGGGCACACATACACACACACACACACACACACACACACACACACACACAGAAGACAAAGGCCTTTCCTGTCATCTCTAGCAAATTTTTACAACCAAAACATTTTCTGTGAGGCATCATCACACTCAACTTCAAACTGCTTAAGTGTCCTGACCTGGAAATATTGGCTTTGCTATTTCTTAGCTCTGAAACCATAATCCAATTAAGACCTCCTATGCACATGCCTGCCTGCTTTGAAATCCAGACAAGAAAAGATCTAGACAAATATTTAGACAAGAAAAGATGGAGCAACAAAATGGGGTTTCAGCTCACAAACTTTACCTCTATCTTCAAAATAGCCTATTATTTAGAAATTATTTCCTCCATGCTTCCTTATGTGAGGAACCAAGCAGAGTGCGGGAGAAAGGTATGTAAAGCATGCACTGACTCCTGTTGCTCTGAGCGAGATGTGTTTTCTCCACTTTCACTAATGAAAAAGAATCACATCTAGGGGAAGGCGAAAGGAAGAGAGCAACCTGCACTGTACGTGAAGGAATGCTACACGTTTGGAAGGATAAGAAATGAACTTTCAAAAGATCTAAATAAATGGGGGTAGAGAAGAGAACAAAAGGCAATTTTTCTGACTCACATAAATAGGTCTGTTTTAAGGGCCACCTTTTGCTCCCCATTTAAAATGCTAAATCCCTGTCAAAGCTGTCTTCATTCTTCTTCCCCTCCCGCGCCCCTCCCTTCCCTCCAGTTGCAGGAATGACTCAAGAGGGTTAGGTTTCAGCTGGGGCAGAGGGAGGGGTCCAAGGACACTTTCCTAAGCTAACAATGACTGTCTCTAATGGTTCTGTCTCCTAACAAAAGCCATGGCTCTGTTGTTATCAGCTTCATCTAATTTTTCCTTTCCAAAGTAAATAGCACAGCCCTTGCCTTTTACACACGTCCAAGTTTGACAAATCATTATTGACTGAGACTATAACTGATAAGAGATAACTTTGTGGTAGGACGTTGTCATTTCCTCTCATAAGGGCTTTCTTTCTGAGAATCAGAAACATGATTAAAATAGTTAAACATTTCCTCTGCCTGGCAGTCAGGAACTCAAGACATTAAGATACTGGAGTCTGCATTTTCCTAGTTCAAATAGATCTAGGAAGATATCAACCGCAGCCACAAATAGTATATTCAAGATTATTCTGCTTTTTTAATGAATTCACACAAAATAATTTCAACACCAAGGACAGCAGCTAATTCCCTATATAGTTTCTGAATGGAGAGCATTAGTGGCTTCTATCAGCTCAACCTCTTTATTTTCAGAGAAGCAAAAAAATAAGATTTTAAATTCTGTAACTAAGAAATTGATGCCTCAGAACACATAATAATATTATGTAAACTAAGATATTAAAGTAACATCCTAGTGAAAGACTTTAAGGGTGACTGAATTAAAACATTCAGGGGTAGATATAAGGAAGGAAACTACTACAGTCTACAATTATACAATCACATAGCTTTTAGAGATCATGTATCACTAAGTACCAATGCATATGACTAATATTTATCATACAAATGACTTTTACATTTGTATGATAATACGAATAGTTTCCATCAAAAAAATAATTCTTAATTACTATCTGCAAAATATTCATTGTTAAATAGCTTTGTATCCTATCAATACATCAGCTAGCAAACAAATGATGCCACTATACCAGTACAGATGACTAAAAAGAGTCTGTAGACAAAAGAAGCTCTAAAGTACAAAAGTAAATTTATAAAAAGGATTAATGCAAGGCACACTGAAAAAAAAGTCTTATAAACCTCTCCAGACAATATATTTTGAGGAAGATATAAAAATTACAAGTAGAGCCCTGGCCTGGTGGCTCAGTTGTTTGGAGTGCCATCCCATACACCAAAAAGGTTGTGGGTTTGATTCCCAGTCAGAGCACATTCCTAGGTTGTGGGTTCAATACCCGGTCAAGGGGGTGTATGGGAGGCAACCAACCCATATTTCTCTCTCTCTCTCTCTCTCTCTCTCTCTCTCTCTCTCTCTCTCTCTCTCTCTCCTCCCCCTTCCTCTCCATCTAAAATCAATAAAACATATCCTTGGGAAAGGATTGAAAAAACATTCCGAGAAAAAATAGGAATATTGGAAAAGAAACATGAACATTTAATTATGAAAATTCTTGCAAAATATAAGGATCTGACTTCTACTGTATTTTTCTTTTTTAATATATCTTAGTTCAGGTCCAAGCCTCTGAAAATGTAAAGGTTGATGAATAAGTTCCTCTCTTACAGAATAAAGAAAATGATTTAACTTTTTAAAGAAAAAAAAGGATATTTTGATTTTAAATTAAATAATGGCATTTAAGTGTTAACAGATAAATCCATTTAATATTTTAACACCCCCCTGCCATCAAAATGGAGCTATTTCTACTATGTTAAAAGACTCATTAGCGAATGAAATGGGAAAATTCTCCACAGGTAACAACCTGATTAAATCTACCTGCTTTATTACTGAGCAAGCATACCATTAGAAAAGAACAGACTACAAGAAAAGATTGCTTGCCGCCCTCCACTCAAGAGTAGAAGCCAATGTACTGAGAAATTTATCTCCGCTGCTGAGAAAGATAGTGCATGAAAACAGAAATGCATTAGTGCGCTCTAGCCCTGTTGTTCACACAGCTGTCCCAAGAGACACACACAGGCCATTTATTTTTCTCTTATAAAATCGTTCAAAGTAGGTGGATCATCCAAAAAGAGTATGACAGGAGTTTGCAAGGAATTTAGACTGCTTCTCACTAATTACTTGAGTCATTCTCCTTCTTGAAAATACTTCTGATTACCACTTCACACAAAACAGTTGGGTGCACATTTCTGAACATTAGTTGGATCTCAAGTCATTAAAATGTACCAGGCATCTTTCTGAAGGGAGACAACAACAAATGATTAGCTGAAGGGGCATTGCCTTTGCATTCAGAGGATCAATTTCGACTGCCCATATTATGTCTGGAAGCCAGGAAATACCTGGCAAACATTTTTCACCAGTGCACTTTTCTGTCCTACTTTGCTTCCAAAACTTCAGAGAAAAGAAGGAG